TGACTGATAACGAAGACAGCAGACGACGAGGACAGGGAGGAACAGGGGTTTAAATGCACCAAAGTGACAGTCAGAGGGAACTCGGGACAACTGGAGGCATTTAAGGATGCAGGGACTGACAGAGACAGGGAAGAAGTCTCATTGTGACGAGTAAAGTTTATCTTGCCTGGCTGGGCAGCTCTCCTGGTGCTCAGCACCCCCAAAGACTGCGGTCAAGTGAGCCCTCACTTACGAAGTCACAGTCAAGCTAGCCGCTCCGCCAGCCGCACCGAAAATGTGGTTGCACTACTCTTACGCATATTACGGTATCGGTGAAGACTGGCTTAGAAACGCAGTGTTTTGTGTCCTGACACTATTTTACTTCACAATCCACTCCCAGTTTTGGTTTATCTCCACTTTCCCCCCTGTGATCCACAGCCCAAATTACTGTATGATTCAGAGAAAATTAACAATAAAATTTACCGAGTTTACTCAACTGTACTTTTAATGTCCTCATCTTTGAGCTCAGATTACAGGAAAACTATAAGAGGTGACGCAGATATTTCACTGGATTATGACTCTGGGTGACCCCCACTCTGCACCCTGTGATCCACAGCCAAATATACTGTACGGTTTTTGAGAAAATTCATAGTAAAATCTTCCCATTTTGCTTTACTGTACTCTACATATTGATATCTTTGAGCTCAGATTACAGGAAAACTGTAAGAGGTGACACAGATATTTCACTGGATTATGACTCTAGGCCATCTCCACTCTTCACCCTGTGATCCACAGCCAAAATTACTGTACAGTTTTTGAGAAAATTGATAGTAAACTTTGCACAATTTACTGTACTATACTCTATATATTCTCATCTTTGAGCTCAGATTACAGGAAAACTGTAAGAGGTGACACAGATATTTCACTGGATTATGACTCTGGGTGACCCCCACTCTGCACCCTGTGATCCACAGCAAAAATTACTGTACGGTTCTTGAGAAAATTCATAGCAAAATCTTCCCATTGTGCTTTACTGTACTCCACATATTAACATCTTTGAGCTCCGATTACAGGAAAACTGTAAGAGGTGATGCAGATATTTCACTGGATTCTGAATCTAGGTTGTCGCCACTCTGCACCCTGTGATCCACAGCCAAATATACTGTACGGTTTCTGAGATTGCTGTGTTGACAGAGTATGACAAAGGCTAAGAAAATATACTGCCTATAATAATATCAAATTTATACAACAAATTACAAAATTGCCACATCTGCTGTTATTGCCATGTGTTAGAGCATTATTTAATCATAGAAAATACATATCATTGAAATATCATCAGTAAAAGAAATACTCCCACTATGTAAGACATGTTTTTAAATTCAGTTAATAAATATTGCATCAAGTCTATACAGATGTTTAGAGACATAATGCAAAGCATGTTTGTTTCTTATCTCTTACAAATGTGTTTGCCTTTAACATAATTTACATTTCATTTATACAGTTTCACAGACGAAACAATAAAATAGGTTTCCTGAACTGTTCTTCATGGCCCAAATTTTGAATCCTTTTGAGGGTGATGCATTATCCAAGAAGGTGGGCAATTTGTTCATTGATCTCTGACCCTCGCTGACTATGACGCCTCCTAATTCTGCTTCCAGCCTTGCTGATTAATTTGTTCTTCCTTTTGGCATCCCTGTCACTGATGCTGTCACCAGTTGTACACAGCATCTCTGTTTGTCCACCAGTCTAATCTGTAATTCAGGTGAACCCAGAATTACATGTATCTTTGTAATGTTTCAAAAAATATACACTATATGTTGATGGGCATTGTCACACTTTTCTTTCCTTTATAAGTAAGAATCTCTATGGTTTTAATGACAATTCATATACAGATTGTGGAGTACATTTAATTCAACATTCAAAAAAGTTCCTCATCTGCAGACTATAGTACAATTTCAGCCCACCGTTAATAAACCCATCCAATGCAGGGTTATCAGAGAAATTATGCAAATGTTATGTTTTCATGTACTGGTAATCTATTTATCATTTATCATGATTCCTGCTCTGATGATTACTTTCTTCTACTTCTGTAATTTTAATAGATAAAGGATGTTGAACATTAAGCTCCAAACAGGATGAGTGAGGAAGACCACAGAGGAGAATCATGGCTGTAGCAAAAGAATACATGCAGTTGTTTTTTTTTCATGGTGGAGGAGCAACTTCTGATACCATCTTAAAGAAAAAACACATCAAATTGAAGAGTAAAAATAATGACAACAATATGTCTACATTTTTTTTATTAATTCCTTAAAGTAAATGCAGTCTTGTCATGTTCAGAGTTGCCCACTCATATTTAACTAATTCAAATACAATTACTGCATATCAATGCTTATGTTCTGATAAAAGGCATTGTTTAATACTTCTTCCATGACAACCCAAATAAATCAATGAGAGGGAAACGGGAAGATTAGTCATCAGGCAAGGTTTACTGTTCATTTACCATGCCCTGATAACAGTAAGCTTAACAAAAGAAAAATGTTGGGGACGAGCACCGGGCGGCTGAGCCAGATCAAAGACATTACTAAAACAAAAAGACGCCAACAGCTTCCCTAAAGTGGAAATAAAATAATATGCAAAACAAAAGGCCTGTGTACCTGCTTGACACATAAGGTCAGTCACATGACACAAAAGTGTCATCACCTGCCTAACCTAGTGTTTTTAACACTTAAAGCTCAGTTGAATGTGTTTTGGGTACCCCGATCTTATCTGTCCAGCCTCACACCCAAACACTCTATTCACACACACAGACACCTGCTAACAAAAGTTCAAAGACAGTCTGAAGCCAACCTGCTGGCCTGGGAGCTGGTTTTTTGAAATTATCCCAGGCAAGCGATTGGTCTACTGTTCCCCAGATCAGCCAATAGAGACGTGCCAATTACCTTTGTATTGAGTGTATTGAGTATTGAATGAGGCTTGACACCTGAAAGACAAGAGTAAGAGAAAACAAAGAGCTGGGTACCATGGCATGTAACAGATGTTGTTCCATGCTCATTTTTGATTGTCTCAGTAAATATGTTAACTGCAAAAACATTGAAAATCTAATTCAACTCACTTGTTCAATAGAAAATAATATTTTCCTTCTTGTTCGTTAATTTTCACGTCACTCTAAGTAATAGTAGTCTTAGAAGTATAAAAACAACTTTCAATTCTCATCATTTATATGAAAGTCTTTAATCACATCTTTTACAATATATTTTAAGCAATATGCTTTTGCCTTTTTCTCTGACACTCATTGTCTTTAACATTAATATTATGAATTACCTATACAATATCTTGCCTTTTGATTACAGTTTTCATAGTTTTTTTTTCATACTGTAACTCGTAGAAATATTTCTGCCAATACTATTTTGATTATATTTTATACATGAAATAACAAGGTCGTACATTGCCTTAACATTTTTTAGTTTTTGCTTCATTATTAGAATTAAATTAGTGTTATTTGTTAATTCAATGCAAACTGATGTGTGGGACAAGAGTCACATGACATAGAGCCAACCCACTTTTGATCTTTCGGTATTTATTGAGGTGTTGCGTCGCACGGACAGATAACGTAGCTTTCATTGCGACAGGAAACGTTTATATGTGGTTACGCTGTCATTACATATAATTATTATTAGTACACTGAACTTTTCATCGAGGCCTACGTGGACTAAAGTTTTTGGTTTACCCACCAACAATAAAATGGAAAGGTGAGTAATTAACACTACAAATGGGACTATTAACAAGAAACGAGAACATTATAGCCATTTAATGCCAGTTATTTTCCCTCAGTCTAATTACAGAAAATTGTTTTAGATTGTTTGCGCTTTGTGTATAGTCTTCGTCCAGAAATGTGTCTAAAATCGAAATTTTTAGAATTTGAAAACCTCAATAATATTGATATACTAACCAATAGAGAGCATATATAGAAATATAGCATATACCGAAGATTAGATTTTGTACTCTTAGGCGTACATTTAAAAGTAAAACCCTCCAGTGAAGCTTAGTGAAAACTGCTCAGTCCTTTGACTTTTGATGTTGTATCTTTTCCAATATATATATATTCATTGAGAAAAAGAAGTGATAACACATTCAGATAATTGAAAAATACGTAACATTTTGTAGTACGAAGAAATACGTTAAAACAAAATCAATGTTTGGTTGCATTACTTGTAAAAAAAAAACACAAACATAATAAGTAACACTGTTCACCATGATAAATAACTCATCTTACAAAAATGTTTTTGTCACGTAAGGTCATAAATTCTCTTTTAAGCAACGATTTGCACTGGGTATTACCAGAATTTAATCTTTCATTGGCTTGACACAATGACTCTTTCAAGTCATGGTGATTGTGATAATGATTGTAAAGTCCGTTCAGAGCAACGGTCTTTGTACTATATGTGTCTTTTTCTGTGTGACTTTTATCTTTCATTATTATATAAATGTGATGTATGTTATGTTCACAAAGTGAATACTTCAAAATGAGGAGGACATGCTACAACAAAGCAGACTGGGTGAATGTGAGACTTCGAGGAGGAGTACTGACACATCCATTTCAACGGGATGGTTCTAGCTGCGGAGTAATGGTCATCATGGTATGGTACAACATTAACGCAATAATATTTTTCTGTGAAATTAGATAAGAAGATGGGGTGGGGGAAGTTAAAATAATCTTAAAAGGTTAAATTGTGTAAACAGGAAGTGTAACATTTGCAGATGTTTTCAATTAATTGTTTTTGTTGTTGTTTTTTAATTTCAGATGGCCAAAGAAGTAATGGAAGCCATCCATCCATCCATCCATCCGCTTCCGCTTATCCTTTTTCAGGGTCGCGGGGGGCACTGGAGCCTATCCCAGCTGTCATGGGGCGAGAGGCGGGGTACACCCTGGACAGGTCGCCAGTCTGTCGCAGGGCCAACACACAGAGACAGACAACCATTCGCACTCACATTCACTCGCACATTCACACCAGTAATGGAAGCATTCCCAAATAAACCAGAAATGACATTTTTGACGACCAAAAAAGAGATGGCCCAGGCACGAAGGACATTTGCACAGACAATACTTGAGGCCTCCGGTGTGTAATATCTTCTTCAAATGGACATATTTATTTGTGTCAAACTGATGAACACTAACATATATATATATATATTATGTTTTAGTATTTGACAGTGACAACAACTGTGCCATGTGTGCAACGGTGAAACCACCTAATCCAGGACCCTCCATCACTGACTGGGTATAGTATTTTTAAAAATTGTTTTATGTTATCTTCCAAAAAATATTTGACTCTGTGTCTTTAATGATTGTAATTGATTAAAACAGAATTATTTATGTAATGTGTTTATGAAAGTTCATATGTTTTTGTTTACAGATCCAGTGTGATAATTGCAACCGCTGGTTCCATTCTGAATGCCTGGACATGACAAATGAACAGCTCAGCAGTGCTCAGAAGACAGAGTGGAAGTGTGTGCTTTGTGTAACCTAATTCCACATGCGGTGAAAGCTACTTGAATATCTGCTTATAGTTGTTATTGGTGTTTTGAGGAACACATGTGTAAAACACAATGTGTATAACATTCTTGCTTTGTGCACGTACCTCAAGTATTTCCTTTTTGATTTTTTGGGTTGATTTGTGTGATGACAGATAATGAATAACAATATATCTAAACTGTGTAGTAGTAATATGAGAAATCAGTAATCTGAGAAATGTAATTTCTCACCCTGACCGGTTGAGGCAGATGGCGCCCCTCCCTGAGCCTGGTTCTGCCGGAGGTTTCTTCCTGTTAAAAGGGAGTTTTTCCTTCCCACTGTTGCTCATAGGGGGTCATATGATTGTTGGGTTTTTCTCTGTATGTATTATTGTAAGGTTTAACTTATTATGTAAGTGCCTTAAGTTGACTATTGTTGTGATTAAGCACTGAATAAATAATGTCTAAAACTAAAGTTGCTACTTGAGGTGGTGTGTGAATGACATTTTGAAAAATTTAAATTGTGTGTGGAAAGACATTTCTTGTAGTTAAGCAAATACTTCAATGAACTCATTTTGTTTGGTAATGGAATAGGATTTAATTTTCTCAAAATCCGTACAGTAATTTTTGCTGTGGATCACAGGGTGAAGAGTGGAGACAGCCTAGAGTCATAATCCAGTGAAATATCTGTGTCACCTCTTACAGTTTTCCTGTAATCTGAGCTCAAAGATGTCAATATGTAGAGTACAGTAAAGCAAAATGGGAAGATTTTACTATGAATTTTCTCAAAATCCATACAGTAAATTTTGCTGTGGATGACAGGGTGCAGAGTGGAGATGGCCTAGATTCATAATCCAGTGAAATATCTGCGTCACCTCTTATAGTTTTCCTGTAATCTGAGCTCAAAAATGAGAATATATAGAGTATAGTACAGTAAATTGTGCAAAGTTTAATATCAATTTTCTCAAAATCCGTACAGTAATTTTGGCTGTGGATCACAGGGTGCAGAGTGGGGGTCATCCAGATTCATAATCCAGTGAAATATCTGCGTCACCTCTTACAGTTTTCCTGTAATCTGAGCTCAAAGATGAGAATATATAGAGTATAGTACAGTAAATTGTGCAAAGTTTACTATGAATTTTCTCAAAATCAGTACAGTAATTTTGGCTGATGATGACAGGGTGAAGAGTGGAGATGGCCTAGATTCAGAATCCAGTGAAATATCTGTGTCACCTCTTATAGTTTTCCTGTAATCTGAGGTCAAAGATGAGAATATTAAACGTACAGTAGAGTAAATTGTGCAAAGTTTACTATGAATTTTCTCAAAATCCGTACAGTAATTTTTGCTGTGGATCACAGGGTGCAGAGTGGGGGTCACCCAGAGTCAGAATCCAGTGAGATATCTGCGTCACCTCTTACAGTTTTCCTGTAATCTGAGCTCAAAGATGAGAATATTAAACGTACAGTAGAGTAAATTGTGCAAAGTTTACTATGAATTTTCTCAAAATCCGTACAGTAATTTTTGCTGTGGATCACAGGGTGAAGAGTGGCGACAGCCTAGAGTCATAATCCAGTGAAATATCTGCGTCACCTCTTACAGTTTTCCTGTAATCTGAGCTCAAAGATGTCAATATGTATAGTACAGTAAAGCACAGTGGGAAGATTTTGCTATGAATTTTCTCCAAAACCGTACAGTAACTTTGGCTGTGGATCACAGGGTGCAGAGTGGGGGTCACCCAGAGTCATAATCCAGTGAGATATCTGCGTCACCTCTTATAGTTTTCCTGTAATCTGAGCTCAAAGATGAGAATATATAGAGTATAGTACAGTAAATTGTGCAAAGTTTACTATCAATTTTCTGGAAAGCCGTACAGTAATTTTGGCTGTGGATCACAGGGTGAAGAGTGGGGTCACCCAGAGTCATAATCCAGTGAGATATCTGTGTCACCTCTTACAGTTTTCCTGTAATCTGAGCTCAAAAATGAGAATATTAAGAGTACAGTAGAGTAAATTGGGTAAATTTTATTGTTAATTTTCTCTGAATCATACAGTAATTTGGGCTGTGGATCACAGGGGGGAAAGTGGAGATAAACCAAAACTGGGAGTGGATTGTGAAGTAAAATAGTGTGAGGACAGAAAACACTTCGTTTCTAAGCCAGTCGGCACCTATACCGTAATATGCGTAAGAGTAGTGCAACAACATTTTAGGTGCGGCTGGCGGGGCGGCTAGCTTGACTGTGACTTCGTAAGTGAGGGCTCACTTGACTGCAGTCCCCAAAGCTCTGATCCTAGAATCGCCCCTGGTATATACTGTATAATATGAGTGAAAAGTAATGAAAGTTGGCACCCATGTAGAGAAGGTAACCCAAAGAAGTGTTCAACTGACAGTTTCATATCAACAATCACAGATGGTTTTTAATAAATGTTTAACATGAGTTTATCACATTCCTCTAAAGTTGTTACATTTCAGCAGACTTGTTCCTTAATTTCTCGGGAGCATGAACGCAGTTTGGGATGAAACTGAGCACAGGCGTAGAGCAGGTGGAGCAGAGGAAGGATGTGTTCAAAGTTTTACGTCAACTATCAGGGATGATTTTTAATGATTTTTTGAAAAAGACGCAATCAGGCTGCTGGTATGTGTGCGCGCGCCCGTATGTTTTATACGTGAGCGCGCGTCCATGTTTGTGATCAGCGCAGGAGAAAAGGCGCTGCCGTAAAGCGGAGCGTAGACGCGCAAGAAGACTTGTGCGGCGGACGAGAGGCGGGTGTCTCCACCGCGGCTCACAATCACGGCTCACTGTCCCGCGGTCCCGTGAAGCCTGAAGAGACGATGAAGAATTAATTTAGCGCTGGGACTGGAACTAGTGTTCTAGTTTGTGTTTATCACGGACTCTTTAGGGCGCTGCACACTCGCTCTCTCAGCACATTCGCGCTCAGAAAGAAGCGCGCATAGAGCCGACTAACGTGGAAACAGGTGAAGAGACGAAGGTAAGCGGTACGGTTTGCTGACGTCACAGTGAAACCCAGCGTCATGGCTTTAACATTGAACAAATCCGCACAGGCTCAGAGACAGACTTCATCCTTTAACCATGCATGAAAAATGAAGCTGAGACAGGAGCTCAGTGTTACAGCTGGAACAACATCAGCTGACATTAAAGAAAAGCAGACATTTGTTCCCTGATAGCAAAGATGGAGAGCGTGAGGGAACTACAGAGAGGAGGACACGGGCAGTGTGAGACACACAGCCTTGTGTGTCTCACACTGCCCTGTGATTACACTCCACACAGTATCATTAACACTAATGAAAAGATAAAGTAATAAGTTACTGTAGTTCTCAGTTACAGCCTCATGTTTCCTCCACGTTCGTCTCTTTCAGACATCAGCAGGAGGGAGGACGACCCCCCAGTGTGAGGACGATCCTCACCACATGAATGGGGGACAGGAGGCGCAGCTTCCAGCCCAGCTGGTAGGAAAGTCCTCCTCAACTTCTCTGTAACTATGGACTCTGCCTGTTGCCATGCGTGCAGGCATTTCGGTCCACAGTGATGTCAGTCAGTGCTTTTTAAAGATGTGCAGGGTGTGAAATCTCCTGTTTGATTGTTAAATGTTCGTTCACTTTGTTTGTGCTCCCAATAAATTCACTTCATAGATGAAACAGGAAAAGGGTTGGCGTAATAAGCAAATGCTTCAGCCAATACCTTTTGATTAGCCTTGTCTCATGCTTTCTTGCTTTGTGGTAGATCTTTGTTCTGTTTTCACTGAGATATTTGAATGCTAATCAATAAAAAAAAAGCAGTTCAATGTTGCCTCTTGTTTTGGTTCTGTGCCCCCATGAAAAAACACCCAGAGCCCACCCTGGTAAATCTGGTGTGGAAACGCCACTGCTGTCAAAATGTGTCATTAAGTATCAAATATTGTATATAAAAAATGTTCCTTCCACTCATTTTCATGTCCTTTTTCTGCACACTGAAATCTCAGGCAATGCTTAAACATGAATCTGTCAGCACCTAGAAACACAAGAGCCTAGAATCACTGCTTTTTCTTCTCATGCGCTTGAATCAGTGTCAGTCATTCAGCACAGAGACTTCAAACACTTGCACAAAACAATCAAGCGGTCCTTCCAAATCTGATATTCGAGCACACGGTAATAAAAACACTGGACATGTAAAAGATAATAATCTTCTGTCTGAATCTTCACAGAAATGCAAAAATCAACACGTAGAATAGAAAAGAAAACAGCAGATTTTTGGTCGCAGAAGTGAAGAAAACGCTGTTTTCATTTTCCTACAACAATAGACAAAACACATGATTTCCATCTTTCTCATGCAAACACTCACCTACAGAAGTTGTAAACAGGCAGAGAAGAATCAAAGCCAGCAAAGCTTTCCTGCACATGTTCTCAGCAGTGACGCTGCTCAGAGCTGTGCTTCTTCCTCTTGGGTTAGTGAGCGCTCAGAGCAGCAGGACACAGGGGTACAGACCTTTATACACTTGTCCATGTGTGTGTGTTGACAGCAGTCACGTGCTCACGATGCGTCTGCCCATCACTGTCACCATGGTTGGTTTCAACATGTTCAAAATAAAGCTTCAATCAATCAATCAATGGTTACAGGCGACGCTCTGAAACTGATGATCAAAGATGTCAGGTTATTGTTTCCATGAAGTCAAATAAATCCACTGTATGTTTAGATAGTGTGTTAGTGTCGTTTCCATGGTAACACTGACTATAAAAGCAAAGGCGATCCATCAGTCCAGATCAATAATGTGAGCTCATTTAAGCGCACATGTATTTTTGGGTATTCAGAGAGGTTGATGTACTCTGTCCACTGATAACTGCTGACATCTAGTGGAAATTTGATGACATTACATCAACAGTTTGTGTGAAATGAATAAAATGCAGATATACTCTAAAAATAAAATACTACAGAACTAAATAGAACACATTAATTCACACAAGGGGAAGTCATGTGACCGTGATGACAGATGTCATTGGGTGGAAAGATC